GAGTGATTTTTCTCTTGATGACGACGATGGTGAAAATCTGGCTGAGCTATTTAGTGCAAGCCTTGCAATGGGAGGCAACAGCATTTTCGACGCAGAACTGGAATATTCACCTCAAATTGTCGAATCAAGTGAATTGGCTTTTGATGCTGAATACGAAAATACAGAAGAAGAGGAAGAAGTTGATAGTGATGGTGAAGAAGTAGAACGGCAGCCAGCGGTCGAAGCTGAGAAGCAAAATGTGCCTGTCAATGGTGCTTCGTCATCGACTTCATCGACAACTTTCCACCGCACACTATATGAATCTCGACTTCCTCAAAATTCCTGGAGGTGTTCTAATGAGTTCAGTAAAGCAGCCATATCAATGAATCTTAAGTTGCTTCCACGGTGGCATTGGATGTTTCGTCAGACACGATGGCCTCTTCGATTTGCGCCGCAACAGAATATCGAGCTGTCCATGAATGGAATCGGAATTCCGCCATGGCGAGCGAGTGCCGGACGACTGCTGTCGGATGTCAGTAGATTTTGTTCAGAACACCGTGAGGTGAAGAACGTTGTTCTTCTTGACCCCATGGTAAATTTCCATCTTCTTTTTTGATCAACAGTTGAAACGCGGCGTACTTTTGTTCTGGTGAAAGAGCGTGATTTGACTGTAAATGATTAAGGGACTACGAACTCAAGGATTTTTGACAAGTCATTATTTAATATCAAATAGTTTTCATTGATGTAATATCTCAACATTTACAGTTTCAATCTGCGCTGCTGACTTGCAAATTTTGTCTTGGCAGGCTTTGTCACCGCTCTCGCCACTGCTCAATCTGATGCGACACTCCGTGGAACCAAAGGCTCACCTGACTGGTGTTCTGTGGATGACCCCAGTTGACGCCATTTCCCCCTTCTACCGAGTTCCAATTCCTCGTAAAGATGAAGATGTGGATGAAGGGGAGGTGGAGCACGTCTATCCGCAACCAGGATATCTGCGATTCCTTACTCTGGCCGCCTTCGTGTCCAATTGGATGGCCTGGTTCTCTCGAATCGAGGCGTACGCGTCATTGGGCATATCTCGTCACCAGCCATCCCTAATGTGTGAGTCTATGTCGGGATTTGTGTTGGTGCCTGGGAGTTTGGGATGCGGACAGTCGCCACTTATCGATTTGTGGCCCCTTTGGTTGGGTAGGAGACTGCTGAACCTCCTTCTCTGTTGTGCACCAACCAGCGGTAGGGACGTCTCGCGACACTTCTTCCCATTCACAGATTTGGATGAGATATGATTCTAGTCATTTATATTAGTCTTTTTTTCTTAAATTTTTGCTACCTCTTTTTCAGAGTAAACATTTTTTTGCTTTTTTGCTTTCGATACAATATCTTCTAATTTAAGACACAGTTGGTGGAAGTAAAGTTAGGACTTGCATCACAATCAAGCACATTTGTCAACCTTGATGGCAGCAGATTCTTTGCATAGACCATAATTCATGGAACTAGGAGATGTTACTCAATTGCTACACGCTGTCTCTGTTTCCAGTCACTGACACATTTAAAATGCACTTGATTACTTCGTATAGTTAATTAGCTAACCTGCAACCCCCACACCTGCAATGACATGACAACCCCATTAGTACATCTGTCCGAAAACATCAACACCTGAAGTGTGTCAGCCAGTTTCATTGATCTGTTCCTACGTTGCATGATTTCACGCTACGTGCTGTTGAACTATTCCAGCAATTG